TTTGATTTTGTCACCCAGATCTATCCAACGAATTTGTCTCTATGGTTCTGCCACCCTCCTAGGGCAGGACACCTCTTCTGTCTCCCCATCTCCAGGAATTCTTGCCCTTGCCCCTGACTGCTGCCCACTTCCACCCTTGCCACTAACTCAGGCTTCATATGGCAGGAGGGGGATCTTTGTAAATGAGGAACTGAAATCCTCCAGGAACTTTTCATTAACTTTATGACACAATCCATGCATCGATCGTAGTGTGATCTATAAGTTGCCCTTTGTGATTCCTAACCTCTGCAGGCCCCCAGCCTCCCCCAACCCAGCCTTGGGTTCACTTCAGAGCACTTATCACACCTGTTGCTAGTTTTCGCTTGTGTTTTTAAAACTGTGGTAAAATACACATAAATTTTACCATCTTTGCCATTTTTAAGTGTGCAGTTCAGTGATGTTAAGTACACTCACATTGTTGTGAAATGAATCTCCAAAGCTGGGTTTGTCTTGAAAATGGAAACTCTCTTATTCATCAAACAGTGACTCCTCATTCCCTCCTCAGCCCCTGCACCCATCAACACTTCTCCATGAATTTGACTACTCTGGGAACCTCCTACCAGTGGAATTGTAATATTAGTCTTTTTGTGACTAACTTGTTTCACTTAGCATGATATCCTCAAGTTTCATCCCATATTGGAGCTTGTGACAGAATTTCTTTCTATTCTGAGGCTGAATAACATTCTAGTGTTATTTGTATGCCACATTTGTCTGCCCATTCATCTATTGATAGACACTTGAGCTGCTTCCAGCTTCTTGCTGTTGATAGCAGTGCTGTGTGTGAGGATATACAAATACTTCATTAAGCTCTTGCTTTCAGTTCTTTTGAGTTTATGTTCAAAGTATGATTTCCAGATCATATAGTAGTTCTATTTTTAATTTTTTGAGGAACTACTGTTCTCTTTTCTATAGTGACAACATCATTTTACATTCCCACCAACAAGCACAAGTGTTCTAATTTCTCCACATCCTCACCAATACTTTTTTTTATGATAGCCACTCTAGTAGGTATGAGGTGATTTTTATGTGCATTTCCATAATGGTCAGCGATGTTAAGCATCCTTTTATGTACTTGTTAGCCATTCATATGTCTTCTTTGGAAAAATGTCAATTCAAGTTCTTTGCCCATTTTTCAAATTGAGTTGGTTTTTGTTGTTGTTGTTGCTGAGCTGAATTTCTTTAGCCACTTTTTAAAAATGTTTTTATTAATATATTATAGTTGTACATAATTTTGGGGTTCATTTTGAACTGGGATTGCATTTTTCCTGTCTTCCTCATAAAGGAGGATCAAAGGAGACAAACTTAATGGCAGCATATTTTGAAACTATAAAATAACTAAACACACTATTTCACCATCAAGACCATCATTATTAGGCAAAATGGGATTTTACTGAGTCAAACAAGTACAGCCTAAAATTTGTGAAATAACACCCATGGGGGCTTCAGATATTTGTCTAAAGCTTCCTGAGGGTCACCTGCCTTTCTTTACTCCAAACACTATCGTTCCAAAGAGAAATGGAGAGAGTATAGAATACATGCATAGAATATAATTCACTCGAAATCAGGTCTTATTACTTCCTCTTTCCTTCTTATTTCCCTCCTTCTTGCTGTTCCCCTTCCTCTACCTACTGATCTTCCTTCTATTCATTTATAGTTTTTTTTTTTTTTTTAAATTGGTGCTTTTTAGGTATACAATTGGAAGTGTGAATCCCATGACAATAGAAGGGAGATCAGTGGAGTCGAGGAAGGTGATAGGGAGGAGCGACTGGAAAAGGGAGGAATGAAATTGACCAAATTATGCTGTATACATGTATGGTTTTTAAGTATATGAGGATTTGTTATATAGTGCTGTTTTAGTTAGCTTTTTCGCTGCTATGACTAGAAGATCTGACCAGAACAATTTTAAAGGAGGAAAAGTTTATTTGAGGGTTCACAGTTTCAGAGGTCTTGGTCCTTAGAAGGTGGGCTCCATTCCTTGGGGCTCCTCCAAGTGAGGCAGAACATCATGGCAGAAGAATGTGGCAGAGGGAACCAGCTCACACAGCGATCAGAAAGCAGAGAGAGAGAGGTCTCCACTTGCCAAATACAAATATAGACACCAAAGCCATGCCCAATTCCCACCTCCTTCAGCCATATCCTAGTACTTCAGTTACCACTTAGTTAATCCTTAACAGGGGATTAATTCACTGATTGGGTTAAGACTCTTACAACCCAATCATTTCTTCTCTGAAACTTCTTGCATTGTCTCACATGTAAGCTTTTGGGTACACCTCACATCCAAACCATACCAAGTGCTAAGCTCCAAGAGGGCTGGGGCTCTGCCCACCTACCTACTACTCTCTTCCCAACCTGGTCCAGAGCCCTGCACATGGTTTGTGATAAGCATATATGCATGCAGCTCAACAGTGAAGGACACAAGAGTGTATTCACCTACCTACCTACCTTTCTTTTTTTGTGGTGCTGAGGGCCTTGCACATGCCAGGCTAGGGTTCCACTGCAGAGCTGCTCCCCAGGCTCTGTATATTCATTCTTTCAAGAAGGATTTAAGGCTGTGACCACTTCTGTTTGGAACTATAGTGTTTGGAGTAAAGAAAGGCAGGTGACCCTTAGGAAGCTTTAGAACAAACAACCTGAAGCCCCAATGGGTGTTATTTCACAAATTTTAGGCTATACTTGTTTGATTCAGTAAAATCCCATTTGGTCTTGATGGTGAAACATTGAGTGTGTTTAGTTATTTTATAGTTTCAAAATATGTTGCAATCAAGTTTGTCTCCTTTGATCCTCCCTTATGAGGAAGACAGGGAAAATGCAATCCCAGTCTCACAGATGGTCGAACAGAGACAGGAGGCCGAGTCACACGTGCATCTCTTCTCCCTCACCTACTGTGTCTTCTTAGTCCTCGGTGCCTGGTTCCCATCTGCCACCATGTCTCATTTGTTCTTCACCATCAACACCCTTCCTCCACCTTCCTGTTCTCTCCTCCTGCCTTAATTCAGCCCCCATGATTCCCTTCCTGGATCACAGGGCAGGTTCCTGACAGGTGCCCTCACCTCCAGGTGTCTTCACCTCCAGGTGCCCTCACCTCCAGGAATTCTCATCTCCAGATGTGCCACTGTTCAGGCTGCTGAGTAAATTTTCCAAAACCCAAGTCTCATTGTTTTCCTGTCTAATTTGAATTTTTGGATATCTTCTCTTTGTCTTCAGGATATCAGTGGCACACAGGCCATTCACGACAGTTTCCTTGTTTGCCCTAACTCCCTTCCTGCTGCCCCAGTACCCTTCCCTGCACCCTTGGCAGATGCTGATTTCTCTGCCTAGGATGCCCACACCACTATCTGCCTATTCTTGGATTTCCATGTATCCCATTCACTGACCAGGGACCCCTGCACTTCCACCCCAGCTAGAGCCCAGCCTTCTTGGTGTGGCCCTCTGCGTTTGCCATTTGGCAGCATGTGCCTTTCTGTAGTGTAATTGTATGTTTGTCAGTCTCCTTGCTGGACTGTGCAATTGGTTACCAAGGACAGTGTCTTTTTTTTTGTTCCGTAGTACTGAGGTTTGAACCCACAGGTGCTCTAATCCCAGCCCTTTTTATTTATTTTTTAAATTTTGAAACCAAGTATTGCAGAGTTGCCCAGGCTGACCTCTAACCTGTGATCCTCCTGACTCAGCCTCCAGAGTTACTGGGATTACAAGCACATGCCATTGTGCCCCTGCCTGGCAGGCAGCATCTTTTATCTCCCTATTTCACAGGTTAGCCCATGACCTCTCACAGAGTAGATCTTTGTGGAAAAGAGGAGGAAAAGCGAAAAGGAAAGTTTGTCTGATTTCAAAGTTCATGTTCTCTCTGTCCTTGACACCACCCATTGTCACATTCTCCTAGTCCACGGTGTTGAGGTTAAGGGTGACTCTCACAGTGATCCTGTTTGACTTTACTTCATCCTCTGGCCAGCCAGACCCTGGTCTACCTCTGGTAAATGCATTCCAACAAAGCAATGACTCATGTGTATGACTCAGGGCAACACAGCACAGCTGGAGAGGAAGCCTGAGTGTCTGCCCAGAGCATGCTGGTTACAGAGCTGCAAGATCCCGACAGGCATTCCCCAGGCTCCTGCAGCCTTGCCGCCTGCTCACTGGAGCCAGCCTCTGTCTGTGGAGAAGGCTGCAGTGGCAGAGTTTTACAAGACTTCTATGTCTGGGATTCCATCTAATTTATTACCATTATCTAATAAATCCCTATTTGTTGCAGGCTTGCTGTAAGTTATAAGTATTGTAATAAGCATCTGGCATACAGATTATCTCATTTAATCCTTATAGTAGCCCAACAGTAACAAATACTCATATAGCACTTACTACGTGTTAAACACTGTTGTAAGCACTTTATACTAATAAATTCATCTATTTCTCAAAATAACCCTGTATTTGTCATCCTCACTTTACTGATGAGGAAACTGAAGCATTTAAAGGTTACACATAGAGGTCACATGGGTTGCAAAAGACAGAGCTGTGATACAAACTCAGGCAGTCAAGCTTCTGAGTTCACACTCTTAACCCATGCTGTGCTGCCCTGATGGAGTGTAACTATAGTCCCATTTTACAGGGGAGGAAATGAAGGCACAGAAAGGTTAGTTACTTAAAAAAGACACACAACCAGCTTGTGATGGAGCCAACTGTGAAAATTGGTTGTCTTCAACCCCTGGCTCCTAACCACTGTACTCTCCTGCCCAGACTTAGGAGACATACAGTCATCAAAATATGGTGATACACTTAGCCCTCCCTGATTTGTGCTTCACAAGGGCCAAGTCCAGAGGTTGGATAGGATGCTGGGGCAGAAACATTCTTCTAAGTCTAGTGCTACAGCAAACAGTGTCTGATGGCACATCTTGCTTCTCATGTCTTCACTTTGGGGCCGCAGAGCTTTCCTCATCCTGGGGATGCTGATGGAGCTTTTCTTACCCCCACAGACAGTGAGACGGTGCACTACCACTACGGCCCGAAGGACCTGGTAACAATCTTGTTCTACATCTTCATCACCATCATCTTGCACGCTGTGGTTCAAGAATACATTTTAGATGTAAGTGCAATGTCTGGATTCTGAGATCAGGAGCTGGGGAGATGCCTTGGGGTAGAGGACCTTGCCTTGGAGGAAACTACAGTTTTGAATCCGTGCACCTCCTAATTTGTATCCCCTGGCTGATCCTATTGATGGACTTCCCTTACCACAGTTTGTCCTCAACATCCTTCATTAATCAGCACATGGGACAGCAGTATTTATTACACAGGAGAAACTGTCTGAAATATGACAAGACTGTCCTTATGGGTCTGTTGTACGTGACATGATTAAGGGCTGTTTTCTTTATGTATAAGGAAAAGATGTGAGTCTTGCTGTTTTTTCAAAACGTTTGCCTTAAGCTAAGCACTGTATGTATGCAGTAGGCTTGCACTAATAACTTGGTTTATAGTAGGGCTCAGACTTCCAACAATGTTTAATCCTTTCATGGGGAGGAAATGAGTTTGAAATCTGTCAGATATGAATGCTCTTGTTTATTGATATGTGGGGTTTTCTTTATCCTTTAGAAAATCAGCAAACGGCTTCATCTCTCCAAAGTCAAACACAGCAAGTTCAATGAATCTGGACAGCTGGTCGTCTTTCATCTCAGCTCAGTGGTGTGGTGCTTCTACGTGGTGTTGACGGTGAGTGGCCCTCGGGACTGCTGATGGGTGAGAGGCAGCTCTGTCTCTTGTATTGCTGATGAATGACCACAAAGGGCTTGCAGAGAAGAAGAAGAGTAAGGTGTAACTTTCTTAGAACTAAAACTCTTTGCACTCACATAGTATTTCATGAGAGGCTAAATGACATAGATGCCACTTTATAGCATGTACCTACACAGCACTATATAGTTTCACCAGGCCAATTCCATAAGGTTGATTTCATGTCCATTCCAGTACCTGTGTTATAGACTGAAGAATCTCAAGCTCAGATATTGCAGATTATCTGTAGCTATGTGTTTCCAAGGATGGCTTGGCCTTGGAAGTCCAGCTCCAAATCCAGCTTACTTTCTGCTTTGCTGCATTGGCCTCCCATACACAAGGCCAGCATTGCCCTGTCTACATAGTGCCCTTTCCCACACTTGCCTACAGGACCAAATGATTTATTCCTCCCCTTTCTACAATAGGATTTATTTCAAGCCATCTTTGATACAGCAGAATTTCTTCTTATAAAGGAATGTGGATCGTCCTTTGAGGTTCACTATAACAAGACCCTGCCTGTCATGCTAGGAAGTTTTTAATTAATACCTACTCTTCCCTGGAATCCCTCCTGTCTATAACCTGGTCCCATGAGAAATCCCGACCTTGGGCGTAGAAAATTCATCGACCCTATGACCTCTTTGGGATTTCCTTTCCTGCCTCCCACACATTCCTCCTCTGTGCCTTCTGTGACAGGGATGGGCCCAGAGCTGAATATGGACTTAATATTCCTAAAGCAAGAGTTAACATGTCCTTTTGTATATTGCTTTTATTCCTATTATTATGTCATTGTAAAGTGGTTTTTCTAAGCAGTACACTAGGAATTTTAAATGAGGGACCTAAGACTATTATTCTCTTGAGCTGAAGTCCATGTCATTCTCCTCTGGTGGACTTACCTTGCATATACCCTTCCCTTGTCCTGAAACTGGAGTTTCAGGCGTCTCCCCACCCCCAGTGAGTTCATGCCAGCCTCTGGAGACCTTAGCTGCTTTGAGGTAGAATGGCCTCAGGATACCCAAGGACATGTAACTCAACTGATCTTTCATGGGAAATATTGCCTCATCTGTGACTCACTTTACCCTTTCAGACTCACCCCCAGACATTCCACCCTAGCTGTGACACATGGGGGCCAGATTTGGAGGCCAGAGCGAAGTTACAATACCCTTTTTAGCGTGTGAAGCACTCAACTGTTGTCTTGCTTCTCAGTCCTTTACAGACTAGAAAAGGATGATGGAAATTAGTTTGGAAGCATGGAGGGCTTTTCTTGGGGAAATTCCAAACAGTCTTTTATGTTGGGTGGTGAGAGCAGTTCCCCACTCAGCACGTTCAGCAGGACATAGAGACCAGGGAAACATACAGAGTTCTGGTGATCCTACCTCTTAGTAACACCGCTAGACTCCTTGCCTCATTATCTGCGTGGGAGGAAAGTGATGGAGGAGCAAGAGGAATTCTATAAAAGGAGTAAAAAAATGCTAGTTTTTTTAAACTCAGAGTTTTCTCTTATGATGCAAATTTTTCATGATTCTTCTCTTTCTTTCATTTTCCAGTCAGCTCATCAGTGGGTCCAACAGCTCTGTGCCCCAGAACGCACTGAGATTCTGTCTGTTGCTTTCTACCTGTATAGCTACTCCTAGCCCAGTGGTCTAGGAATTTGTCCCTCTGGGGACACCTGGCAACAGGTTGCTGGCACACAGTGGGTGGAGCTCGGGAATGCTACCAAATACCCTTCACTGCAGAGGACAAATCCCACAGCCAAGAGTTTTCTGACCCAGATGTCAGCAGTATCGAGGTTGTAAATCCTGAGTGCCTGTTATTTCTCACCTGCACACTGAATGTCCTCCTTCCAGAGGGAGGCTGTGTCCACTCTGTGCCCCCCCCTGCCCCAATCCATTAACTGCTCTACCAGATGGATCTGTACAAAACCCAGGTAAAATCATGCATTTACCCTGCTTAAAAGCTCTTCTCATAGCTGAAGTAAAACTGGCTTTTTTTCCCCCTCACTCATGTCATATGGGCCTTGCTGGCCTAACTGGTCTGATCTGAGGGGACACAGCCCTGCTGTGTCCACCTTTGTTCCTCTTACTGTTCTGGCCATTTCTGTTTCCTAGACTTTGTACTAGTGGTTCCTCTGCTCAAGTGCTACTTCCACAGGCATCACATGTCCATCTCCTTCTTGCTATCCAGTCTCCACCTAAGTGTTACCTCATTTGCATTTTATGCATTGCACCCATTACTGGTGTTCTGGTTCATGTGTAGTTCTCTGTGCCTGCCTCACACTGGACCCTGAGCTATTTGCTAGCAGGCACCATGCTTATGCTATACCCTTTATAGAGTGCCTGACGTATACTAAGTGCTCATTAAATATTGGCTGTGAGGAATGACTAGGCTGCACATGATCTTATTTCTCTAGCCTTCAACAATTTTTTATGTAATGAATTGATGATTTTCATAAACATCATAGACGATCATATTTTTAAAGTAATACAAAAAAGTTTAAAAAAAAAAAGGAAAAATATATCCCAAGTCCCTCTTACCAAAAATACCAGTTTTATTTGGTGTTTGATTTAGGCATTTTTCTAGTATATGTGCAGAGTGATGGGAGTATGGCTGGACCAACCAAATAAGAACATCAATCTTTGACTTTCAATTTATCTTTGATATATCATTCATTGTTCAGGGAAAAAGAGGAAGAAAAAAAAACATAATAAAACTCCACTGGAGAATGCAGGGTGGGTGAGCATTTGCCTGACTTCTTTGGTATGTCTGACTTTCATATTTTAAAACCTAAAACCCACTGGTCAGTGAGAATCTGGTGGAGGGGAATTAGTGTCAGAACTGGTTGCTACTAATAGACTAGTCACCTTGGAGCAGATTTGTAGCACATGGTTGTTCCTGATGAACAAATAATATAGGGAATGCCTGATTCTAGCAACTGGCTGGGTTATGTCTGGCTTCTGCTGTTTTTGTGGTTCTTTCTGATCATTCCCCAGAAAGGAAGGCTCTTGTGGAAGCAGAAGGAATCGCTCCAGCACGCTGAGGCCTTGCTTAGCTTATGAGTTGATGTGCAGAGTCACAAGAGAACAAAGGATTTCAAGAACTCCCCCAAACCATCTGCAGAGGCCTTGGGCGGATGGGGTTCGGAAGGAGTTACAGGTGCTTGCTGTGCCTCTCTGGCCCCCAGGAACTCAGGTGTCTTGGCATGTCTAAGCTCAGAGGTGGCCCAGCCGAGCTCTCCCTCAGACAGCTGCCTGGACAGAGGTCTGGAAAAGGCTGTTCTCAGAGCAGTGAGTCATTTTTCCTCTGGCTCTCTCAGCTTTCCTCCCTCCGCCCATCCTCCTCCAGTCCCAGTGGACTGGACATTCACAAGAAGGCAGCATTTTTCTGGAGAGTTTTCTTGGCGTGTTGGCTTCCAGATTCTGACCTCTTTGTCTCTTAAGTGAAGAGGCCAAGCAGAGGGGGTTCCCATTTGCAAGTCACAAGACCCTGCAGGCTGTGGCATTCTCACAGCGCTGCTTTTCTTGGCCCATCTTTTTTTTTTTTTTTTTTTTTTTGGCAGAAGTGCCTCTTCCACCTCAGTCCCAGAAGTACCATTTTTCCTGTGAAGTGCATTGCTGCTTCCTCTAGGAAGGGTTGTTCTCACCCCTCTGATTTCCCTGGAAGGAAGCAAGAGAGTGTGGAAGACCAGGTGTCACTGTGCCTGAGGTCAGATCTGATGTGTTAATGGCAAAAAGGGGAGGCGAATGGGTAGCAGCAATGTGGGTGTGTGAAAGAGCTCACTGCCACCACCCTGATGTCCACAGCTTCCTGCCTCTGTGTGTGACCAAGGGAGTGGGGTGGAGGTGTGAGAAGAGATTGTAATTGGGGCCATAGGGTTTGAGTGAGACTTTTCCTTCCATTGTAAGTTATTGTGACTACATTGGGATGTGTATCTGATTGGGTCTATCAGGTCATTGTGCTCATGGGGTCCCAAGTTATGGCACTGGGGCAGTGTGGATTGTACCCAAAATGATAGGCCAGAGGGCAGTTAGTGATCGAGGGTGGATCAGGCCTCAGTTGGAAATACAATCTCAGATCCAACAGACAGTAGACTAGAGTGCTTCTCACTAAACCAGTTGACCTTCTCATCCCCCTGAGCATTGTAAAACCCCTGCTCTTACCTTTGGAGCAAACAGTCAAGGTTCTCAGTCTTCTCATCAAATCCACCGTTGTAGACAGCTTTTTCACCACTGTGACTAAAAGATTCCACCAGCACACTTGTAGAAGAAAAAAGGTTTATTCAGGGCTCACAGTTTCAGAAGTCTCCATACATAAGACAGTAAGCTCCATTCTTTGGGGCTTAAGGTGAGACAGAACATCATGGCAGAAGAGTGTGGCAGAGGGAAACATCTCACATGATGATCAGAAAACAGAGAGAGGTCTCCACTTGCCAGCTACAAATACATACCTCATAGCCACATCCCCAATGAACCACTTCCTCCAGCCACACCCCACTTGCCACCAGTTAACACTAAGTTAATCACTGATTAGCTTAAGGATATAACCCAGTCATTTCTCCTCTGAACTTTGCATTGTCTCATATATGAGCTTTTGGGGGATACCATGTCTAAACCATACAGCTACCAGCTTAACTGATTTTCTGATTACTGAAGTAACCTTCTTGGAGTTCTAGAACCAGGAAATTGGTGGCCTAGCTTAGATTTTTAGCTGTGCTACTGAAAAACCATCTCATTTCAGATCTTTTCTCTATTCCATTTCCTTCTCTCTTCAAGAGGTCATACTAATCTAAACTTCTCTGAGTAACAAACAAGAGACCTCATTTTTTTTTCCCCCAGAAGAAATTGTTTAAAGCATCCGTCATTCATTTATTCAACTAACATATTGTTATTAGACTCTGTGTCAGTTGGTTCTTGCTGAAGGTGGACTTTTTCCTCCTATGTTTTACAATCTTGGATTATAAGCTCATCTTTTACATTTCAAGGGTTTATCTGTGGGAATCCCATGTATCCTTAGGTGATAGTATGTCCTCAGGGTATCACTGGACTACAACATGCTGTTAGTACTGATTTATCAGCCTGGTGGTTCCTGAATCACCGAGGTGGTTTGAACTCCAGACCCAGGCGAGAGCAAACCTGACATTGTGGGTATTTGGGGCAAATATTTTTGTTTTCGTCCTTGGCCTGACTAAGCAGACTTTTTTTTTTTTTTTGGATCAGCAACACTTTCTAGACTACTTTTTCTCTGAGGTTGTAGCCCTTCAAGGGTCCTCATTTCATACTTGCATCTTGGGTTCCACCTCCCAAGGCACTGTCTTCTGTATGGGCACTACAACCCTGGTCCTAAGACTGTGCCTTCTGGGCTGCTACAGGTCACTTACTACTCTGGCTTCTAGTTCCCTGTTTCTTTGGGTCCTGGAAGTGGGGGTGGGGTTTCCCTTATCTTCTTGTGAGCTCTGCTTTGCTATTAAAAGCATATTTGTTATATTCCATTTCTAGATGTTGTGTGATGGGAATGTTTTCAGGTTACTTCCCCCTCTGTGTATAGGGTGTGGGCTACTTGTTAGGGACATAAAGGAGAGCAAGAAAATGCTCTAGTGTGATGGAACTTCACTAGAGTGTTGGAGACACGTGGCAATCATGATGCAACATAAGATTGGGGTCAGAGTCCTGATGCACAGTGAGGTTTGCAGGGCCCTGCTGTTCTTCTTATTTATGGTAATCTGAAAAGTCAGTCTCAGCTTTCAGTTTTCCAGTGGAAGTTGATTCTAGTTCGTTTGCTTATTCATTCTGTAAGCATTTTCTGAGTGCCTACAGGCCAGGCATGGTACTAGACATTGTCCAAGAACTATCAGGTTGATTTCCAACAATAACTCTGCTGAGATGGTATTCATAACCTCATTTTACAGCTTATGGGAACAAATGAACTTGTTTGGCAGAGACAGCTGGTACATGTCAGGTCCACATTCAGACCCAGGTGTCCAGACCCTGAACATGGCACTTCCCACTAGATCATGGCTTTCACTGGTGGAAGAGAGCCAGTGGGTCCCAGGTATAGGCATTCTATGTCTTCACATTTCCTATTCCTTACTCTTTTCAGCACGTGGGGGTTGGGTGCAGCCATGACCCCTGGACCAGTGACAGGACCCCAGTGGGTCCCATGTTCACATCTCTAAGTGCTCTCTTCTCACCCACCACAGGAAGGATACTTAACAAACCCAAGAAGCCTCTGGGAAGACTACCCGCATGTGTACCTCTCGTGAGTATTCTTGTGCCTGGTCCCCAGGGAGGAGCAAGTGGTCCCCTGGCTTCTCATCCCACAGTGTGGCCAGAACATTACAGGGCCAACTGGCATGAGGACCAGATCATGTCCTGAGCCTATTGAGGCATAGTGTTGTGGGCAGTAGGCCTGTGTATGGCTGTTTCCTCCCAGAGAATCCCCAAATGGAATGTCACCTGCACTGGCTCTTCCCACAGAGGCACCTAAACTGACAGATACAAAGTAGAACTCCCCACAGAGTCTTTTGGCTTTGTGCCATTCACAGCACATCTTCCTGTCCATCCTCTGTGGCTGATGCTCTGTCAGAGGCAGCATCCCATGCCTCTCTGGTGCTGCCATGTCTCAGGCCCATCTCTAGTTTCCAGGAGGCCACTTTTTGCCTCTCCTATGACCTTTCAGAGCAACAATAGCAAAGGATGTAGAGCTGAGCTAGATCTTCCTTTGCTACTTGAATCCAGCCATTGTTCATTGTGTTCTATGGTCACCATGTCCATCCAAAGTGCCCTGGAATCAGCGCCTTCCTCAGCTTTCTCTTCTGGAGGCTGAAGAACTCCTCCTCCTTTGTATACTTGTGATACTGCTTTTTTCTTCCATGGACTTTACATGTCCCTTTAGATGGTCTTGTATATGGCATGGCCACTGTGGATGTAGTGGTGGCAGGCCTTGCCCCCAGCTCCTGGACCTGCGTGCTTGGCAAGCACCAGCAGAATGTGGTGCTGTACCCTCTTTGAGACTCCTCCCTATTTTCCAGCTTCCAGGTGAAGTTTTTCTACCTGTGCCAGCTGGCCTACTGGTTGCATGCACTTCCCGAGCTTTACTTCCAGAAGGTACGGAAGGTGAGTATGTGCTTTTCCTGCTGCCCCAGGGAGTTCCTTCATTCTCCACTCCCCTCCTGTGTTCCCTTTGTCTGCCTCCCTTCCCTTCCTCCAGAGCACAGGGTGTGGGCTGGTGATGGGATGTTTGGTGCTTGAGGTAAATGCTGACTCAGCCTCTGTGGCAGTGCCTTTTGGAACCTCATGAGCGGCCACCAGTGTCAGTCTCTTGCCTGCCTCTTCTAGGAGTGTGGCTTTGGGCAAAATCTAATGTCAAGATCCTGGAGAGATGTTTGCCACTCCCACAGCTTTTTAAAAAAATTGTTTCAGTCTGAATTAATTCCAAAAGCCCACTTCCCCAGTCCCCATGTTCTACTCCTCAGTCCACACCTTGCCCTCTAACACGAGACCCGAAGCTGCTGCCTCACCCTTGAACTTTGCAGCAGCCCAGCACGATGGACTCTAGTGTGACATGTACTATGAGTTAAAGCCACCCAGTCCTGGAGGGGTTAGGGGGACCTGGCCCTCACGCTTTCCCTGCATTCCCTGCATCCTCAGGTAGGGAAGGGACAAGTTTACTGTCTGCTGCTCTTGTTTCCAGGAGGAGATTCCCCGCCAGCTCCAGTACATTTGCCTGTACCTGATCCACATAGCTGGAGCATACCTCTTAAAGTGAGTGAGACCTTGAGCCACCAGAGTTCCTTTCCTCCTTATGTCCCTGCTATTCACAATCATTCAATTAGAAGGCATTGATTAGATGCCCTCTATGTACCAGATACCATGCTAAGACATGGGGACGCAGAGAAGGATAATGGAATGTTGTTTGATCTTCAGTGGTTCATTCTCTATCTGGTAGGAGAGATATAGACAATTTACTGTAAGGACAATTTACTGTGATGAGCACTATAATAAGGTCTGTTTCACCAGCCATGGGAAGTCAAAGAGTGATAGCCTCAACCTGAAGAAAACCAGAGAAGACTTTGACAGATGCTGGCCCTTGAACCATGGCTTTGCAGGTTAAAGGTAGCCTGAAGCTGGGCTTCCACCTCAGTATCCAAGTGCTGCTTGAGCCCATGACCCTAGGATTCCCTTCTCTTTGGTTTATAATGTCATGGAGAGCAGTTTACTGCTTGATTGTTCTGGAAGTACAGAGTTGCTATAGTTTTTTATCTTTTCTTTTCTTTTTTTTTTTTTTTTTTTTTTAGTTGTTGATGGACCTTTATCTTTATTTATTTATATGCAGTTCTGAGGATCGAACCTCACACATGCTAGGCAAGCGTTCTACCACTGAGCCACATCCTAGCCCTAGAGTTTGATCTTGAGGGTCTGTTTTATGTAGGATGAAAAGGTCATTTCATTTATAATTTGGACTTTACCTGAGCTTTATCCACATAGGGTTGAGCTCCCTATACTTCCTCTAGGCTGTCATTTGAGTGCTTGCTATGTGTAACTTTTGCTAGTGCCTGGAGGTCTGCGAGCCCCTGTCTCCTGGGTTCTCACAGCAGGCATCCTGTGAGAATGACTGGGTTGGGTTAATAAGAGTCCAAGAGGGTAGCATTGCTCAACCTCTGGTCTCCCAGAGAGGCCTAGAGCCAAGTCACTTCCTGGATGGGCCTTGGAGGGGTGCAAGCTGTGTGTGCCAGCTCTGCCTGGTATTGGATGCTCATGGGTCACATGTAGCATGGGTCTAAGGAAACCACTCTGCACCATCTCCCCAGTGGTTTTGCACGGAGCACCACACAGGAAGAGTGCCTCCTGCTTTCCCACTCTCAGCCTGAAGGACTGGGTAATGACATCACATAGCAGGAATCCTTCATGTTTCCAACCTCTGCACACTTGTTCTGAGCACCTTTTATGTGCTTGGTTCTAGCAGGATGATGAGTGAGTGCTATGAAGAGCCTATGTCAGGTCCATGGTGGGAACAGACAAGGGCACCTGACCCAGATAGGGCAGGGAAGAGCCGAGGGAGGTTAGGCTTTGGGAAAAACTCCTAAAAGTGCAATAGCTAACCTGAATCTTAAAGGATGAATCAGGGCCCGCCCAGCAAGTAGAGTAGAAAACAGTGTCCAGGCACATGGGACAGCCTAGGACAAGATGGGGCCATGGTTTCTGCTTGTGGGGAGGGTAAAGCTCATCTTTTGTCTTCAGCCTGAGCCGCCTGGGCCTGATCTTGCTGCTTTTGCAGTACTCCACTGAGTTCCTCTTCCACATGGCACGACTCTTCTACTTCGCAGACGAAAACAATGAGAAACTGTAAGTAGAGCTGCCAGGGACTGGCCCACTCAGAGGCCTTAGGAACATGGGCCTCCTCTGAGACCTGAGCGGGTAGAGGCTCTTATCCTGGGTTTATGTGCTTACTTGTCTGCAGGTTGCACCTAAGGTTTTTTGGTAGTGGGGGAGCATCTTATTGAAGATACCTCTCAAGTACCTTACTAGGCACTCTTTGAGTCCTCTTCCCACTCAGGGTCTGAGTGAAGGTTCTTTCAAGAGCCGTAAAGATTAACATCTGTTTTCTGCCTCTGTGAGTAGGTTTAATGCCTGGGCTGCTGTGTTTGGGGTCACACGCCTCTTCATTCTCACCCTCGCTGTACTGGCCATTGGCTTTGGACTGGCTCGCATGGAAAACCAGGCATTTGATCCTGAGAAAGGGAACTTCAACACCTTGCTTTGCAGGTGAGTTGGGCAGAAGCCCAAGGTAATGAATCAGGGCTCCCTGAGAGCTGCCGGGAACCTTCTGAACTTGGCACAACTCCTGCAGAAGGTCAAGAGGCAGCAGACCTTTGAGTCTCCCAAATGCTGAGGTTTAGCTGGAAATCTCTGAACATCAGGCCTGAGGGGAGAGGAGATACCAGCCTTCTGCTTCCCTCAAAACCTTCTTTACTTCCTGGCTCTGGTTTGCTCAGACTGCAGTCAGGATCTCAATCCAAATACAAATCCTCTTACCTTTGTGCAACACTTTGTGGTGCACAAGAGGTTTTACGTCTGGTCTTTCAGTTGATCCTTACAACCATGTGAGGACTCTTTAAACCTCTATCATCCAGAGGTTGGCCGGTGGTCAAGGGAAACAACCAGAAGCCATATGCTACCATGAGTACACAGGCCTTGGAAGGTGTGACTGTCCAAGGTTGCTGCTCTTTTAAGTGACATGCTGGATGAGAAGCCACTCTCAGAATTATTTCAGGTATATCATAATTCAGTCATTTGAATTCTACCCATATCTGTGGAGTTTATATTAACCTTACTCTGTGCTATGGATATGAGGCTCCCCCCAGGCATGAGAGTAGTGTGATTGTGGAGCTTGATGCATAACCACCTCCTTCCCGTCTCTCTTACTTCAACATTGCTGAAGTGTGCTAGTATAATGACCACAGCACATGCTCTTCCTAATGATAGTGGCAATGTGAGGGGACTGGCCATGGAAGCCGTACAGTCCAGGCCTTGTCTCCCCATTTGAGGACTCTGGTCTAAGCCCCACCCTCAAGCCAGCTTCTCTGCCTCACAGGCTCTGCATGCTACTGCTGGTGTGTGCTGCCCAGGCCTGGCTCATGTGGCGCTTCATCCACTCCCAGCTGAGGCACTGGCGGGAATACTGGAATGAGCAGAGCGCCAAGCGGAGAATCCCAGCTGCCCCAAGGCTTCCAGCCAGGCTCATCAAGAGAGAATCTGGTGAGTGCCAGGGCCCGAGGCTAAGAGAGGGTGAGGTCTGTCTGGGATGGGTGGGGAGGAGCTGGCGGCTCTTGGGCACGCCACACACGAGTCTTGCTGGCTCCTCCTTCCTGACTATTTCCCTGGGCCTGGGGCTCCGTGACTGGCGCGTGGCTGGGCATGGGCCAAGGACAGAGTGTGGGCAGGGCTGGCCCTAACTAGGCCAGGATCCCAGGCCTCTGTGAGGCAGGGCTGTGCTGGGTGGGGACCCCTGTCGGGAAACATGTCCTCAGGGTGGTTTCTGGAGCCCAGCCAAGTTCTGCTGCTGCTGCCACCCCCACCCATGCCCTATGCTACACAGTGCCCTGCTGTGTCCTCACCTGCCCTTGTGTTCTGCATCTCAGCCTGCCTCTGCTTCCTGGATTGTTGGCTCCTTCTCTGTTCAGGAATGACTCACAATGACACAGTGCTAGGTGGGTGGCAGGGGCGGGACACCTACCTGTCCTTTGGCCCCTACACACACCCCACTTATCACCTACCCCCATAGGTTCTGAGCATTCCCAGCCCTTCACTTCCTGTCCAGCCTGGGAGCTTGTCTGCACTGGGATCTATTTTCTGACTCACCTGCCTTTCTCCAGGCAGCTGCCTGCTTGGCAAGGGCTTGTGTGTTTGAAGCAGACACGTGGGCAGCTGGATGTGAGGAGGAGGCCTGGGGGTGGGGGAGTGGCCAGAGGCTGCCTCTGAAGTGCCTATTTGATTTGGATCAAGCACATGGAAGTCTTTTCCACAACAATAAAAGAGCACAATTTTTCTGCCAGAGGAGTTTGAGGCATCTGAGTAAGGCCTTTCCCTAAAGCCTTTTGTACCCTCTCTCTGTTGCCCCCATTCTTAGGAGCTATTGCTGAAATGAGTTGGTGCCCCGTAGACGCCTGAAAGGAACTGTGGGCACTGGCATCATTTAAGTGACTCCAGGGAGCTCTCACCTCAGCCCCAGGCCTGGGCAGGAGGGCAGCTACCTGATACCGTGTTTCTGTGTGTCATCCCCAGCCCCCAGGCTTAAGCACAATCAGTAACCTAGCACCTCAAATGGAGCCATTTGTCTAAGATACTGGGGAAAGCAGAAACCTACCCAGAGCTGTCAACACTTCTGTTTGCTATAGGAAACTGCTGCCCAATGCCCACTTTGACTCTTGGGGGTGCATCAGGAGGGCTGAGTGGCCCCACTCCTTGATATGCCCCGATCCTTCGTTCTCCTGCTTCAGTCCTGGCAGAAACCCCACATATGTCTGTCTCTTTCCACTTCCCAGGTTATCATGAAAATGGAGTTGTGAAAGCAGAGAATGGAACATCCCCACGGACTAAGAAACTCAAGTCTCCTTAAGGCCAAAGTGCTGAGAACAGGAATCCTCTTGGTGGGGGCCCAACAGGGAGGCAAGGAACCCAGGCCCCCAACACTGCCTCCTCCTTCCTCCTTGACATGCTCCGTCTCAAATAGCAGAAACCTGTCTTCAGAGAGGGGGGGTTTCTATTTCTTCTTGGCTTTCTCTTCTTATTCTTCCATAAACCATTCTCAATAAAGCCAAAAATCTTCCTCTGTCACTCCCTCAAGCCACTTACGGCCTCACCTCTGTCCTATGTTGGGTTTTCTAGAAACCTAGATCCTCATGGTTATTCTTCTGCTCACCTCTTTTTTCTCTTCCTTCATGGCTGCTGCTTTTTCTTCTTACTTCTTTATTTCACTTTAACGTGCAATTTTTCTGTGTCTGGTTTTTACCATGGGAGGGAGCTAAGATTGTGGTCCTGTCCATCACTCCCAGGACCTGTCCATATGGAAGCCTTGTGCCAAGGAGCTTCACGTGGGGCTGGTAGCAGGCCCCTTGGTGGTCCTTATGCGGATGGGCAGGAAGAGGAGAGGCCTGCCCTCTTGGATCGTAATCTCCTTGGTGCTGATTAACTGATGAGATGTCTGATTCCAGTTCTACACACGCCATCTTGAGGCACAGCAGCCACTGCTGGTTGTGAGTGCCGAGGCATTTGGCTTTGGGACATGGCAACATGATCCAGGAGGATGGTATTAACTCTGTTGGGTCCCATGACTCCAGAGGGCTTCTCGTGCTGGAGTTGTATTGAAACCAGCCTGTACTCACTCTGGAGGAAAGTGCTAAAGGAGGACAAGTCTTCCCACTTGTAGAGCAAGAGCAAAGCATGCCGAGCAGCAGGCAGACTGGTAACACGACAGGAGACACAGGAGTCAGCCTGGGCCATTCTCCAGCAATGCCAGCCGCTGTTGTTTCTTCAACCATTCACCAGCACTCAAAACCAAACAGTTAGCAAACCTGCCTGAGATGCACTGGTCTGGAGTCCAGAACCAGCCAACCCTGTCAGGTCAAACTTTCTACCTTGACTTCATCTCTGTAGCTGCAGAAACACTAAGCCTCAAGGGCTCCACCCTACACCAGTCCCCTGGTGCCCCAGAGAGGGTCACCTGGCCATCTGCCCTCTGGCCTAACTTGTGAGTGTTCTTTGGAATCCTTGTCGCTTGCTGATGTTTATTGAGCACAACTACAGCTAGGGTTGACTCAAGAGTCGCTCTTCTAGCTGGATGAGGATGAGCAGAAGAGCCCTGTTGATAGAAGTCTTCTGTCTCCCTCCCTGTGATGTTCTTTCCTGTCCCCTCCACCTGAAGACAAGGCTGCCAGGTCCTTAAGCTGTCTTACGAGGACTTCCTGAAGGGGAGGTAGGCTTGAAAAGGTCCTAATTAAGAACCCCTGAGCCCTGTGCTGAGGCGACAGGGAGCAGTTCTTGGTGGCACAGGAATGCTTATGTCACCTAGCATACTGGCCCTCTCTTTGACATCATGGTAGAGATCAGACCTTGGATTTTTATCCAAAAATGGGGACAAGGGTCTTTTCATCAAGGCAGTTCCCCTTCTCCAAGTCACTTGGAGAACATTGTAGACAAAGTTTAAGTTACCAGTAACCAAGGGATCTGTTTCCAAACACCACTGTAGACTTCCATCTCTGTCTGGGGTAAGCATACAGAATTGCAAAGACTGCCCTTGGTTTCTTTTGATTGCCCTTAGAAAGTAGCACAATATTTTTGAGAGTGTGCATTTTCCTCTAACCTTCCTCTCCTTCCCTGACCCTTCTCTGGGCTGCACAGAAGAATGTTGGTAAGCAGGTAGCTTGGTATTGACTCAGCAGAGCTGATCTGAAACCCCCTTGCCACTTCAGGCCAATAGCCCTTACATAGACAGTAACTGAGTTCATGCTTACCTGGCCTGGAACTACTCATGGAGAGAGTATTGAGCCCAGCCAGCAGTCTCTTAAACCCACCTTCCTCCCGCATTGGCTCAGATGACCTTCTGGGTTCTTCCCAGGCTGTCATAGCCTCACCAGCCTTCTGTAGGAGGTCTCTTACCCTCAGGTGAGTCAGACTGAGCTGCTGAGTCATGCCCCCAGTGGATACTTAGAGCATGCTTGCAGTGTTCTGAGGCCTAGGGATGTGGTAGTGAGCAGAGCAGCTGAAGTCCTGGATCCAGCCACCCCCATTCTCCTGTATGTGGGTTTTCATTGCTCTGTCCCGGGATACATGGCTCCATGTTTCTTACATCTCCTGGAAGCTTCCAGTGCTGCTGATGTATCATGCCTTGGGCATGGTACCATGAACCTTGCGGCTGGGGTCAACTTAGAGTGTTTCCTAAAGGACAAGGGGTGGTTCAGTCATGGGAGTTTGTATAATCTTATTCTGCATTAAAAGAAAAACCTCTGAGACCATGGGGTAAACATGGAATTGGAAAGATCTACCCTGGGTTTCTTTTTAGTACCCTTAGAAAGCGGATCAGTTTTTTTAAAAGTGCATTTTTCCATAATCTTCCTCTCCTTCCTGACATCTTGCCATCCTGGGCTTCAGGGATGTTTGTGGATGCTTAGAGGTTAATGTTAGGGTATTTCCTTCCCCCTCCTGCCTCCCTGGCACATTTATGTCACAGCAAAGTCAAGACTTTGGCAAGCTGACACAAACTGTGTTGCCAGAGTTTAAATAACTCAATTCCACTTGATCCTGAGAGCAGGTTGGGCTAGCTTGTACTAACTTGGGCACTGTGGCTATGTTTTCATTTTTATTTAGTCTATCCTGTCCCCAAAGCACCAAGCCACTTGTGCAGGCCCTGCAGACCCCTCCATTGGAGAGGCAGCTTAGCACCATCCGCCAAGGGCAAAAGAAAAGATGCTCATCTACCTCAGTCACTGCCTCTCAACATCCCTGACTGGTACAGCTGCACTCAGATGCCAGCAGATGGCAGTGGTAGGAGAGGGAGGCCATTTTGGTGGATAGAGGAGCCCCTGCTGCCAATTCTCCCAAGTTCAGTGATGGGAAAGTTATTTTTACCTTCCAGGCTCTGATAGCTGCACTATTAATAAGTTGCATGTGTTCTTGTTGAAGGTAGTGTATGGTTCTGGGGGAAAAGGGAGTTTACCACCACTTAAATCAAAAGAGACATGTGTTCTGGCCACCTTCACAGTGTTTCCCTTGACTGGAATCCCTGGGACCCTAAAGCCAGGGGTGGGTTTGTGCATCTAGGTTTTCAGACCTCTTTCCTCAGTACCCCTGGATTTTTGTCTCAGTGGTAAATAAGAAAGAGGTTGCATGCCTTCCAAAAATTCCACAATGTAAAGTTACATACCATGGAAGCTTTAATTACAAGAGGCTTGCCAACACCTTTGGCTGTGGAAGGCCTTGGTTTGCATTTCTTTGATAGGTGTCAGTCTTTCCTGTTTATTTTGCCTATATCTGGGGTGGGAAAAGGTAGGATTGTCTGAACATAACTAACTTCCCTAATGTCTAAGGGCTTCAGTGTCTCAAGTGGATCTTAAACCCTTATGGCCTCTGTTCTCCACTGATGGAAAGGGCTGAGGGCCCGAGAGTCAGGGCAGTTGGGTGGTCTTTCTCCTCTCCTGCTCCTGAGCTTACAGTCTTTTTCCTCAGGAGAGAGAGTGGTGGTTACTGGAGAACCATCAGTTCATTTGAAAAACCTAAGAATAAATTGGAGCCCTCTGGCCCGTGGTCCACTGTGAGGAAGCCTTCACCAGCTTCCCACCTTCTCCCTGTTTGCATGAGTATTAACTACACCTCCTGAGAGGCTAGAAAAGACCACGCCTCCTTTGTGGCCTCACCTCCCACTCATGTCCTCTTTTATGGAGATGGCTGGATCAGCACAGCCCTGAAGATAAAAAGCATTCAGACTTGCAGGCTCTACGTAGCCTTTTAGTGTTTGGCAATCCCCGTAGAATTTTTGTGCTTGTCTTAAGCAGATCTGTTCTTGTGTAATAAGTGCCTTATGTTGCCGTGTGGCCTTCATTTGTACTGTATGGCCAGCCCATAGTTGCCAGGGCTCTGGGCTTTGAGCATATGCAGCCAAGGACACCATCATACCTCACTCAGTACAGTACATATAAAAGGGACACGGACCGACAGTTTTTCCTCATTTACTTTGACACCCTCCCCACATAGTAGTAGGCTCTGTGTTATCTGCTTCATTTCTGCCTCTCCCTGTAGGGGCTCACTTCTGGCCTGCTGGAGGGCTATAGAAGCCTGTGAGTGGCCCAAGGGCAGGCACCTGTGCCTTGTGCTTGTGAAGGGAAGCACCGAGGTTCCAGCACTACCCCTGCAGCCCCTGTACCCTGCCTCACACAGAAGCCCTGACCTTTGTCTCCTCTCACCCCATATTAGAAACAAAGGGCACCCTTGCTGTAACCTCTTCTGATCTATTTCACTTCTGAAAGTTTGTGGAAGGTGTTTACTTGTACTTCCTGGTCCAGAGACCTAACTCCTTACCTGTTTGACAGAGAGTTTAGTCCAGCACTTGCAGAACCGCCACAGCTCCTGATTGGGGTGACCTTGTGGGTTAGTAGCCACAACCTCCTCCCTGCCCCTCACCTGCCTGCATGCCTGTTCCCACCCTTCCGGGTTGTGCAATAACCCTCCCAGCCCGTGGTCTTTTCCACAGGCCTTTCTGTCCCTTACATTGCCCTGCAATAGGTGGGGAGGAGGGACCTTTGGCAGGGGTAGTCATAATCCCTTACAGAAGAAATGTCAGCCATTTCCCCATGTTGCTGTCACTCATGATGCTGGGTGGGTTTCTGTGGCCCTCTTGTAGAACGTGTGGCATCATCTTAGAAGTCTTTATATTTAAAAATAAAAAATCTGTTGAAAAGGAGAAAAAAAATCCTCAGGATGGGACCTAAGTGAGCGTCTGGGAATACAATCTGTGTGAGGCCCGTGGTGTCACCATCACTCTGTAAAAATGTTTCAGAGTTTCTTGTGCACATGGAGAGGATGGAGAATCAGCCCTGGGTGGAGAGCCCTGAGGTCTGAGCAGGTCTGGCTGTGGGAGTGAGTACCACCGTCCTGTTAGGTGCAGATTCGAGTGTTTATGTATTGAGACTACAAACCTCACTTTTCAGTTCCTCTGAAATAAACATCTGAAGGATGAACTGAGGCTGCTGGTGCCCTGAGCAACTCATAATGCAAATGTGGACAAGTTGTCTTTGTTTTTCTACTTTAGCCTGTTCATGTTATGGACCAAATTTCCACAAGGAACTCAAGGAAAATTTGTACCTGCCGTATTTATGCTTTCATGTAAAAGGGTTGGGGGGAGGGATGTCTATTTTACTTTTGGTGAACTTTTTTCAAAATCCTTTTTCCACTGTTTCTGTCTGGTTTTAAAACAAATTACAGTTTTGTATGGATTTTTTAATGTACATTTTGAAACAAATGATCAAATATTTTCTGTAATAACTGAATAAAAGGCATAGAATTATCAGTCTTAATTGTCTCTGAAATAACTTGACATGCCTCTATGTAGGAGTGCTTTTTAATCTAGATACTTATGTTGGTTTACTTGACAAGTGACTTTACATCAGTTTTAGCCCTCATGTGTAAAACTTTTCACTCCATAGTCATTTCTTGTGTTTCTTGAGATATATTTGTTCACTGTGGTGATATGAATCAGGGAATTGGAATGAAGGATGGAGAATCAGTTATAAAAAGTGCTGGATGGTAATATGTATCATTTTAATTCAATCTATAACAAGTAAAGTAGAAAAGGGGATTTTCTTAGCATGGGGTTTGTGAGCAGGCGGCTCCAGAAGGAAGCTCTCTATGCTTAATGCCTGCTATCATATGATGTCATTTGGCTTAGAGGACATAGGCTTCAGTGCCACCAAGTATGTTGGTGCTGACTAGAAGACATCCCAGTTTTAGTAGTAATGGTGGGTACTTAGGATTTTTGATGTCACTTATATGGCCTGTTGTTTCCTGTAGCTGAAGCTCAGGAGATGAGCTTCAGTTAGTTAGTCATAGACATCCACAGGGTGTGAGAATTACCAGAGAGCATCTGCTTGAGGTGAAGGTGAGTGGACCTAATCGGGGAGGGAGGAGCTTTGGCAGGTTTGAGTTGGAGTCCTGCTGTGTGTGAGAAACTAGGTGACTCCAGCACTTAACCTCCCTCATGAGAGAAGATAGGTGACCTAGCTAGGGGTTTTGTTTTTGTTTTATAGGAAATAGTGATAGTGAATACTAAGTTCATGGAATAAGTAAGGCTGTCAAACATTTTTTTAAAGTGAACCTGTTCATACTTGGGTGCCAGCAAGATATTCGGGAGTCACTTACCTAAGTGAACCTCGATTCTCTGGAAACATTTATTAGAGAAGTCTTCTCCACTTGTTGGTCCCAAACACCCTCAAACACATGGGTTTACTACACCTAATTATTAGGTGGCATTTTCAAGGCCCCCTAGTGGTATAGACAGGGTGCCAGCTCAGGTCAGTCAGTAGTGGCTACCTCACAGACTATCTTCCTCCACAAGATATGATTAGCCCTGAATCCACAAATCACCCTCATGAGTCTTAGACGTATCCTTTAGTTAAAGCTGATAGTTGTGGCTTCCAGTGTGCCTCCAATGCCAGTGCTACTTGGTAATGGAAATTCTCTATTTCTGACTAAACTTGGTGGCCAATTGGAAATGATGGCCATTTCTTCCTACAATATTGCTTGCTGTAGGCTAACTCTGCTGTCTTCCTTCACCTGAGCCCAGCTGTAACTGTGGCACATGGTAATTAGTGACATCTAATGGCTGCACTGCCATTCAGGATTTTAGTAGGAAAATGATTCGCTCTGATTTTGGTGATTCCTAAAGTTGCTGCCTTGTGGAAACTTAACGGGTGAACAGTGTGAGGACACCAAAGAAATGCCCTGCTGGCTAGGGTCTTTCATGAGGTAGTGCTCATACCTTGTGATGGTGCTGTCAGATCTTAGCTTCTCAATCTTGGGTGAGCTTGGGAAGGGAGGCCAGGTGAGAAGTAGAAAGCAAGCTTGAGGAATATATAAACCTTATTCAAGCTAGCTGAGATGCTTCTAACAATTGTAGTGGGGCTGAAAGTTTAATCCTAGTACTCAGTAATTGAATAGAAAGATATTTCTTGTATCTGGTGGAAAAGATAAAGGGAAATAAAAAGAGTTAGAAAGTCTACGAACACTTGGATTTCAAAGGGCAGGTAGAGGGGGATGTTCCTAAATCTCCATTTCAGCTAAGGCCCAATGCCGAGGACAAAAATTGGTAAGTATTTCCACATGCTGCCAATTGGGCTGATCCATGAAAGATTTACATTGGAGGGACCCAAAGCCTTTGTGAGCTTCTGTCTTCCTCATGATTGGAGACTGTAGACTTCTGAAAAGGGCATCAGGATATAGCAGGTCTGCAAGCTAAGTGGGTAGATGGGATGGGGATGACTTTAACAGATGTGGTTTGACGTGTCTCTTGGAGTTTGGAGAGCACAAGATTTGGGGTGCCTGATTCTCATCTAAAACAAGTCTCAAGGATAGCTACCTAACTGCAGAACCAAGAGAATCTTTCAGCATGAGTGCATACCCTAGCAGGGCTGAAAGGGCCCCATTCTGACAGATGAAGAGCCTGGGCAGCAGACTGTTACAGCAGGGCAGTCAGTTGGCTACTAGACCATCTGCATCTGAGAATGGTGCACAAGGAGGTTCCCTGTGTGAAGGTGCCCTAAGAATACACACACACACACACACACACACACACACAGTGTCCTTGGAGAAAGTGATAGGCTTTGGACATACGTTACTCAGCCTTCAACCCAAATTATGATGACATTACCTGATAGAAATGAGAAGTTTCCCTTTTCTCTGGTTCTGCCCTCTAACCCTTCCTAGATCCTACTTGGGCCCAAACAGCAGCTGGCCTGAATAGAGACAAAGGGAACAAAAGCCAGAGAAAGGACTTTGCCTGTCCCAACACATACACTCTACTAATGGCTTCCAAGCCTGAGGCAGGACTGAGCTGGGAAAACAGGATAGAATTTAGTATTTTTTAAAGATTGAAGTGGACTTTTTAAATATTTGAGAATTTTAAAATAGTTATGAATGACTGAAGGAAACAAAGTATGGGTTCTTCCTGAGATAAAAACCTGGAGCAAAAGGAGGCATCAACAATGCATCTACAGCCTTTAAACTGGTTAAAGGTAACAGCTCATTAGGGAAGGAAAGATCGAGGGCAGCTTCCCAGCAATTCTGAGGAGGCCCAGGCATGCTTGGTCCTGTGTAACTCCATCCTCATTCATGCCATATTTTGGGTGGCACAGAAGAATTTGAGATGGCATTTGAAAAGATGAAGTTGGTAACTGACTTCGATTAAAGAGCAGCACTGGCTAGAAAGTCATTTAGAACTCATTAGAGAGCCAACAACTGCTATCAGTCTTCCCCCACTATCTTAATGCCAGACGCTCTAAAAGAGCAAGTTTTCTACTTTTTAAAACAGCACCCACATCAAGAAAAACATTTTCCTTCATAACCCATCAAATATACTCAGGAAACAAGTTTCATGAAAATACATACTCTACATTTGTTCCACACCGATCTTTTATATTCCATTTTTTAAAAATGCAGGTCAACTAATGGGCCTTGAACCAGAGTTTTAAAAACACATACTATGTTTCTCTACAATATCGGGACAGGCAGATAGGTAGTGGTGGGGGCCATTGGCTGGCAGCAACATCAATGCTATGCACTTATTTTCAATATCCCAAATGTTTCTAGAAAATTCTCATTCATCCTGCACTTAATCATGCTATATCTGTTACAGTTGTCCAGAGAAAACAGAACCAACAGAATGTGTATGTATGTGTATAGACATATACAAAGAAAGAAATGAGTAATAGTATAAATGATTACTACCATGAGAAATGATCCGCATTTTGGAGCCTAAGCTCCTTAAGCTGAAGGTGAGTTGGCAAGCTAGAGCTGAGTGAGAGCTGAGGCTATAGTTCCAATCTGAGTCCAGATGCCTGAGACTTAGGACAGCTGATGGTGTAGCTCCTTTCTGAGGCCTGAAGGTGAAGGACTGTTGTTTCAGTTTGAGTTTGAAGGCAGTCAGGCAGGAGGAATTTGCTAGTACTCAGGGGAGGGTCAGCCATTTTGTTTTGTCCAGATGACTAGTTGGGCCCAACCACTTTGGGGAAGGCAATCTGCTTTGCTTACCAATTCAGATGTATTCTGAATCAAAAACAGAATAATGTTTGATGAAATATCTGGGTAGTCTGTGTCCCAGTCAATTGACACATAAAATTAACCATGACAATACCCCAACCACCCAAAATAAGGCACTGATCCTATAAAAAACAATTTAATTGAGATTTTTGGAGAAGTGAAATATAATCAAAAAAGAAATATAACTTCAGGAGCTCTACAAGATATATTTCCAACTGTGGCTCCAACATAAAAAAATTATATTGTATTCTCTCATCAGCCAGATCAGTTTGAGAAAGCACGAACAAAGTTATAATAGTCAATTCTGTCTTCTCCATGAGAGCACATCCTGATTAACTGCAGAAGAGAGCAAAGAGAACAAATGAGACAGGTGGGCTTCCTTCAACTTAACTGCAGAGCACACTTATCCCCCACCTTTGTAAACCCAAAGTTCAGTTTTTATATCCTCAGTTGATTCATAAATGATCCTATGAACCTTGTAGGTAGGTCAGACATTGCCATCATCTTCAACTTAATGAAACCAAAGTTGGATGGTATAAATTACCTGCCCAAGATTTCAAGATGATCACCCATATTTATAAGGGTGCTGTCATTTTCAAAGCAAATTGTTTCAAGTAGAAGCCTTTGTCTACCAGGAAATAAGACTCTTATATAGTAGGTTGCTAATATTGCAACCTAATAAAAGAATCTAGTTCTATTACTGTTTATACTGTGTCCCTTGAAACTCAGCTGTGACTGATAACAGAATGATTTCCTGTGGTTGTCTTTGTAAGACATGTGCAAATCTACCCCACCTTTCCCTTCCCTGTCCCACTTCCCAATGACAGCCATTCCTCTCTCCCAAGTCAGTTCCCATGTCATATGGTATAAATTACTAAAAATCAAAGTAGGCATGCTGTCAATCTAAGGTATGGGGAGTTAACTGGACGCTTGGCCCACATGAACAAATACCCTTCTTTCTGCCCGCCTCTACTCCTTGCTAATATTCCTGTTCATAAAAACTACTCATCTATAACCTAGTCACTTTAGCCCTAAACAAAATCCTTTCCTAAATGAATCTTTAATTCTGAACTTGGTTTTTGCTTAAATATCTTCAAGAAGGGCTATAGAATTTCAATGTTCTTAGTGTGAATATTTTGAAGATAGTAAGCCAGAGTCCTTGGCAAATGTGTTAGGGGGATGAATTTTGTTCTGACTTTCAGGGGAACCCTGACTAAAGGAATTAGTAATGAAGGAACAGCATGAAACTTAATTGATTTATGAAAATTCTAGGAGAAGAACTTCCTTGCCTTTTGTCTATTTGTGGCTGACCATACCCTTTACGTACTGCTTGGGCAGTGTTTGTGTCCACATGCTAGCCCTACTGAGGGGCTAAGCTACACGTTGGCTGTGAAGGGCATTAAAGGCTTTCCACCATCCTATTCAATCAACTGATCTTTGGGTCTCCTCCTGGCAGCTCCCCATCCAGGGTCATCTCTGCTGCCTTCCTTCAGCCCTGACGTATTGGTCTATCAACACTCTGTGCTATCTAGTCCCAGGCCCACTTATTGAGAAGCCCTTCAACAGAAATTAAACAAGGATGCCAATGCTAGAATCGGGGAAAATACCATAATCAAGGACAGTAGTTATGATTGGAATATCCTAAATCTCCCTCATTTAAAATAAAATACACATACAATTGCCTTTAGGAAAGAATGATTGGTGCTTAGCCTCTACAATCAACCCCCAAAAGAAATTCATACCAACCTCCTTAACCAAGGAGTCATCAATTGGGACGTTAAAGGATTCACAGATTTTAAAGAACATCTCTCTGTCCACATATCCTAATGCTTCCTTGTCATGAGCTTGAAATGCTTCATGTATGTTATCTTTGCATGAATAATCTTTCAGTTGCTTCTGGACTGTGTCAATTAAGGCTTCCAGTTCCTGCTTGCCTGGCTCCTCTTTAGCTTGCTTGCTGTAGAGAAAGGAAGGACATGACTGGACATGGTATTTATTTATTTATTTATTTATTTTTAAGAGAGAGAATTTTTAATATTTATTTTTTGGTTTTCGGCGGACACAACATCTTTGTTTGTATGTGGTGCTGAGGATCGAACCCGGGCCGCACCCATGCCAGGCGAGCACGCTATCGCTTGAGCCACATCCCCAGCCCTGGACATGGTATTTATTCTTGACCAATCTTATCTCAGTGACCAAAGTTCTCACTTGGTGGAGTCAGGGAAGCTTCTAATGACAAACAGCTTTGACAAAGAGCTGACCAGTAGAACACTTGCCCATGGAAGCTGGCTGATGACCAATGCCCACATTGGGAAGGCCTGACAGGGGGCAGTTTTTCATTGCCTGTCTTTTTGCCATATGTTAAATCACTGCACCACAAAGAGCCAAAGCTAATACCACCGCCATCCCAAATTTGGTATTTACAGGAACCACATGATTGTCTCTTCCTGCTTTGCAGATTAACATTACCTATCTAAAAATAAATGTCTTGAGTGTTTTAAAAATATGCATATAACTATGCAGCCAGAAATCTCTTGTAGTTTTAACTTTCTTTCTCCAATTCTCCCTGAATTTTGTGAAGGCTCATCTATGGAAGTTAAGGGGCTGCCCTATGTGGTGGTGAGAAGTTTAAGCTTAGCCTTTACTGAAATGAAGAGAAATTAATAACAGAGCATTAGGAAGAGGAAGGCCTGTCCCTTCAAAACACAGCACCCTAAGTAGAAGCTCAATTTTTATTTCCTTTGAACAAGAAGCAACAGCTACAAAATTGAGGAATTTTAGAGCTAGAAAAGTTTCCCACATATTCATAAATTCTTTTAGAACAAAATGAACCCAGATAAACCCAGTAAGCATTCTTCCCTTTTTCAGTGATTGGAAAACAGACTTAAAGACCTATCCCAGATTCACATCAGAGGCAAGACCAGAACTCACGACTCACTCCATTCCAACATGTTCTTTCAAGGATGCCTGACTACCTCTTACTGAATCCCTCTCCTGCCATGACTTCAAAACCACTAACCCACTGAATTTCTATTCTTATTTTTTCTTGTATATAATATTCAAAAAGTTCACTGTTGCAACTAGCCTCTTTTAAATTAAGTTCTTTTTACCTACTGTTGATGGTTGCTGGGAGAGATATAAAGTGGTATAATCTTTCAGGAGTCATTTTAAACAAGGAGCAAATGGTCAAGCAAAGAATTCCAAATAATTTATCCTAGGGAAATAATCATGGATTGTATGAAAAGATAAATCTATGAGAATGTTTTTAGATAGGCTAAATAGCCAAAAATACTAAATTGGTTAAAATACTTTAATCAAGTAATGGAATAATAATGAAGCCATCAACAATGCTGCAGAGAGTGGAAGATTGTTAGAAAATTGAGGTATTAGAGTATGAAAACAAAGTGCTAGCTTTTGTGTAAAACTCATGGGAGAATAAAAATATATATTCAACTTTGCCTATATTATGTAAAGAAACTCTGGGAAGATAATTTAAAAAAAAGAAAACAAAGACAGTCTCCTATGGGGGATGGAGTAAGTAGTAGATGGAATATTTGAGTATAAGGTCTACCCCAAATATATTAAGCTATCAATGTTCCATAAAATATTTCACAATATCAGGAATATTTATGGTAGGCTATCAAGTAAAGTCAGTTAAATAGTATGATAGAATTAGTACATTTCATATGCATATTAAAAAACAAAATATTAGAAGTCATCTCTGGGATATGAGATTTTCAACATATTTTTGCTTATATTTATTTGCATTTGCATGGAAATGGAAGGAGACCCTCATTGTTATACAAAATTACATATAAGGGGATGTGAGGGGAAAGGAAAAAACAAAACAAAACAAGGGAGAGAAATGAATTACAGTAGATGGGGTAGAGAGAGAAGAGGGGAGGGGAGGGGAGGGGAGGGGGGATAGTAAAGGATAGGAAAGGTAGCAGAATACAACAGTCACAGTATGGCAATATGTAAAAACGTGGATGTGTAACTGATGTGATACTGCAATCTGTATACGGGGTAAAAATGGGAGTTCATAACCCACTTGAATCTAATGTATGAAATATGATATGTCAAGAGCTTTGTAATGTTTTAAATAACCAATAAAAAATTTTACTCCCTTAATTTTAAAAATGTGAACATGTTATTTTTACAGTATGGCAAAACAATAAAAATCATCATAAAAATCACCAGTAACTAAATGACCTATGGCATTATGTATTATAAAAGCAGACTATGTTTAACTGATCGGTGTAATTCCAGTGATGTATACTAAATTATAAATGATTGTCAAGGAACTATTTTAGTGTCACAAACTATTCAAACCTCATTCTGCACATAGTTTCAGGAATTAGAGCCATGGAGCATATTAAGTCAAAATGTGATTATCATCCAATCACTTTGGGAAAAATGACGAGTAACAAAGACAATACTTCTTCCTTCCCTGAAGATGTCAGATGCCCATTTCCTTTCATACATCAGGGAAATACCCAGGCATCAGCAACCTTTGAACAAGATGGAATATATGCAGAGATAGATGGCAAGGAGTGGTATTGTTTAAGGCAGGCATAGTTAAAGTTAGAGCCCCTAATTTATTATGAGGGCACATGCCAGGGCCCATTCTATAAGGGAGCAGCAATTCGTAGGCCAAGTTGTTGCTCCCGTGGGTCAAAAACGGAAAATAAAGATATTGTGTCCACCTAAAACAAAAATAAATAAATAAATAAATAAATTTTTAAAATGGAACTCAGGGGCCTGCTAGTTATGCTTAGCAGGAACTGCCTACTGAGAGGTGGCTAGAGAACCCAATACGTGGGATAAAAATTGTTCCAAGCCCTCCAATGCTCTACCTTTACTTTCCATAAAAGTGAATGTGTGTTCTATAGAGTGATCCCATGGGTAAGATGGTAAGATGAATGTTAATGATTTTTCAGTCTGCTCTTAGAATATTCTGCTACAAGCACCCTGGCAAGTCCTCTACTTAGCAGGAACTGAGTGGAACTAATGTATTTTCTTAAGTAAATAGTCTGAAATCCTATTCTCCCTTTCCTACAGTATTTCTTTTGGTGGAAGGCAGTTCTAATAATGTGTCAGAGCTTTAAGTGGCCATTTCTATTGCAAAGACTCAGTGTAGACCTCCTGGCGTGACCTTAGCTCTTGATCTGTAACCCATACCTCCCCTTTGCCCCAGTAAAGGTAAACCCATCCCAGGACAGGCAGTCACTGGCCCAGGGAGCTTCGGTTATGGCCAAGAGTTTTACTAAATGAAAACGTGCCTGATTTATTGGTGCTTTTCTCTGGAAAAGCAAAAAGACTGTAATACAAAACTTGGGCTCTGGACTCAGAGCACCTGGTTCAAAATCTCAGCTTGGCCATTTTAAGGCTGCATAATCTTCATCCAGTTCCTTAACTGCTCTGCAACTCAGTGCTTTCATCTGTAATAGGTGGGGGAGGGGCGGCAGTTAAAGGAAACCATCTCACAAACACTCTTATCAGAATTAAATATAACATATAAATGACATACTGCCTGACACAGCAGTGACACAACAAATGGTAGTGCTTAACCGAGTTCCTTTTTTCTTTCTTTCTTTTTTTTTTTTTTGGTACCAAGGATTGAATCCAGGGACACCTAACCACTGAACCATATCCTCAACCTATTTTATTTTGAGACATGGTCTCACTAAGTTGTTTAGGGCTTCACTAAGTTGCTAAGACTGGCTTTTCACTTTGTGAGCCTCCTGCCTCAGCCTCCTGAGCTGCTGGAATTAGAGGTGTGAGTCACGACACCTGGATCTAGTTCTTTGGCCTTTTACCATTTGCCCTTTCCTTTTTTCTGGCCTGGAATATAGATGTAAAGTTAGAGATGCAACATGACTTTGTGGCCACAGAGTGAAAAGCATGATGACAAATGGTACTTGTGAAAGCTGAGAAGAGAGTGAGACATCAGGTCTCTGATGGCATTATAAAGCCCCCACACCAGCCTGAGTCTATTTACCTCCAGACATAATGTTCCATGAGAAGTATCAAACTCCACTGGGTTAAGCTGATGTAAGTTTGCTGTGTTGTTACTGTTGCAGTTATCATGTGCAGCAAATGTAACTTCTAACTGATAGAGAGCTTTAAATTAGGAAATGGTGTTGAGAAGGAAAAGAAGAAGTCAGAGGCAAGAGATTATAGAATAAAACAAAAGAACACAGTGTATTGGATGTGCTGCAAAATAGAAGAGGTCAAGGTTATCTCCAAGGTTTCAAATCAAGATATTGATTGCATTAAGAGGGGAATTAGCATTTACTGACTGCCTCATGTGTTCTCATCATTATGTTGGTGTTTTATGTGTCGTCACAATTCATTGCTATCTCAACTCCATGGGACAGATAGGCAGAAAGAAAGAACAGGGCCAAAAGCAGGTGAGCTGGAAAGATGAAAATGACAATGACTTTTTTGTTGTACAAAGTGTGAGGTGCCAATGATTCAGATGGACAAAATACCTAGAACCTACAGCAGACAGAAATGTAGGAATTCCTTCCGGAGAATGGTTAGCATGGAGAGCACCTCACACACTGTGTGATGTTAAGAGAGTTTAAAGAAGGCAAACAAGAGGACCAAAAACTGGACCTGGAGAAACACCAGCCTACTAGAAGTAAGTAGGAAAAAGATACATAAAATAGGCTTTAAGAGAGGTAGGAATAATTAGCTTTCCAGAACTTAAAAAAGAGGGCGTCAAAAGTGGGTGGTTAACATACGTAAGTCAGGAAGGCCAAATACTGGATTAGAGGATCAGGAAACTGGCACAGAGGCCAATCCAGTCTGCTGCCTGCATTTTTTTAGGCATAAAGTTTTATTGGAACACAGGAACTCCTATTCATTTACAAGTAGCTGCTTTCACACTGCAAGGGCAGAGTTAGGTAGTTACAGAGATGGTATGGCCCACAAAACCTAAATCATCTCCCA